GAGCCTCGGTGCGACGAGATCTTTACGTCACCGCGCTCTGGGGAGCCTTGGTGTCAAGAGCTTGCTACGTCCCCGCTCGCTGATGGGGCCCGTGTGGGCCAATGTTGGGCCGCCTTGGGGCCCTTTTGGGCCGTCTTGGGGCGTTGTGGAAGCTGGTGGCCATCTTGTGGCTCTCTAAGGGGGCCTCTTGGGTGCATATTTTGGCCTTCTGTGGGCCTCGCGGTGCTCTCTTGGGACCGTCTTGGGGCCCTCTTGGTTGGTCCGTCTTGGGGCATTATTGTGCCGTTTTGGGCCCCTCTGGGTCCGTATTGGGGCCCTGTGGGCACGTTTTCATGCCCTTTCGGTTGCCTCCTTGGGCCGTCTTGGGACGAGATTTGGAACCTCTTGGGCCGTTTGGGCTCGTTCCTGGCCTGAAACAGGAAGAACCCAAAAAACCTTGTTTAAATTATCTTGGCGAAGGGCCCAACCATAGGATGTCGTCGGTACCGCAATTGTGACTATCTGCTTCGGTGAAGCTTCCTATGGGGCCACGAAGCGCTGCGCTGGGCGGGAGGGAACGCATGCGAGCGGTAGCAATGGGGCCGTCGGTGAAGCTCCTTTTGGGGCCACGGAACGCTGTCCTGGGTGTGTGAACATACCAAATTAGGCGTGTGTGACATTGGGGGTTTCGGTGGAGCTTCCCATGGGGCCACGGGGCGCTGTGCTGGGTGGGCGACAGTGCCAAGCTGGGTGTGGGGGACGCATGCGGGCGGTCCCACTGGAGGCTTCGGTGGAGCTCCCTGTGGGGGACGCATGCGGGCGGTCCCAGTGATGGAGTTCCCTATGGGGCCACGAAGCGCTGTATTGGGCGGGTGAAAATGCCAAATTCGGCATGGTGGGCGCATGCGGGCGGTCCCATTGGGGGCTTCGGTGAACTCCCCATGGGTCCACGGAGCGCTGTACTTGGTTGGTGAGAATGCGAAATCGGGTGCGGGGGACGCGTGCGGGCGGTCCCACTGGAGGCTTCGGTGGGGCTCCCTATGGGGCCACGAAGCGTTGTACTGGGTGGGTGACAATGCCAAGCTGGGTATGGGGGACGCATGCGGGCAGTCCCACTGGGGGCTTCGGTGGGGCTCGCTATTGGGCCGCGAAGCGCTGTACTGCGTGGGTGAAAATGCAAAATTGTACGTGGGGCGCATGTGGGCGATCCCATTGGGGGCTTCGGTGGAGCTCCCTATGGGGTCACGGAGCGCTGTATTGGGTGGGTGAAAATGCCAAATTGGGCGTGGGGGACGCATGCGGGCGGTCCCAGCGGGTGCTTCGGTGGAGCTCCCTATGGGGCCACGAAGCGCTGTACTGGGTGGGTGACAATGCCAAGTTGGGTATGGGGACGCATGCGGGCAGTCCCACTGGGGTCTTCGGTGGAGCTCCCCATGGGGCCACGAAACGCTGCACGAAGCGCTGTACTGGGTGGGTGAAAATGCCAAATTGGGCGTGGGGGACGCATGCGGGCGGTCCAACAGGGCGTTTCGGTAGAGTTCCCTATGGGGCCACGAAACGTTGTATTGGGTGGGTGAAAATGCCAAAATGGGTGTGGGGGACGCATGCGGGCGGTCCCACTGGGGGTTTCGGTGGAACTCGCTACTGGGCCACGAGACGCTGTGTTGGGTGGGCGACAGTGCCATGCTGAGCGTCGGGGACGCATGCGGGCGGTCCCACTGGCTCCTTTATTGGACCACGAAGCGCCGTACTCGGCGGGTGAAAATGCCGAAGTGGATGTGGGGCACGCATGTGGGCGGTAACACTGGGGGCTTCGGTGGAGCTCCCTATGGGGTCACGAAGCGCTGTAGTGGGTGGGTGAAAATGCCAAATTGGGCGTGGGGGGCGCATGCGGGCGGTCCCACGGGGGTCTTCGGTGGAGTTCTTTCCGGAACCACGAAACGTGTGAGGGATGTGCCGAGATGGGTGTGGGGGACGCATGCGGGCGGTGGAAAGGAGGAGGGGGAGGAGGAGGAGGGGAGGAAAGGAACGCGGGGACCGTCTCTTCAAAACGAAGACCCAACACCACAGGATGGTTAGGAAAAAACATAACAAAATCAATGTTTGCTGCCCTGGGGGCACTCTGGAGGACCCCTGAGCCGTCTGGAGGCTTTGTTGGACCGTCTGGAGGCCATCTGGGGCTCTCTTGGGGCCGACTTGGTGCCCTCTTGGGCCGTTTCGGGGCCCTCTTGGGCCGTCTTGGGGCCCTTGAGCCGATTCATTCAAGAAAATACCAGCAAACGGGCCATGGAAGGCGCCCGCAAGCCGTTTATTCAACAAAAAATATAAGGGAAATTGCCCAATGACGGCCATTACCAACCAAACGTCCCCCCCTGGAACCTCCCTTGAAAACCCTCCCTAGAGGGCTTCGCCCCACACTAGAACGCCATCGCTCGTACCTCGCTCTTTCACGAGGGACCCCCAAGAGAGCCCCAAGAGGGCACCAAGAGGCTCCCAAGAGACTCCCAAGAGGCCCCAAAAGGGCTCGACAACGGTCCCAGAGGGCCCCCCAGACGGCCCACGAGGGCCCCAAGACAGCCCAAGCCACGATGGCCCCAAGAGACTCCCAAGAGGGCCCGAAGAGGCGGTGTGGGGACCGGGCTGATTGAGTGTGGGGATTGGGCTGGCCCTAACCAAGATGGCCCAAGAGTCCCAAAACGGCCTTCAAGAGGGCCCCCGAGAGGGCTTCAGGAGGCCAAAAAGCATTGTTTCCCCTATGGCTTTTCAAGGTTCCCAACCATCCTGTGGTGTTGGGTCCTCGTTTTGAAGAGACGGTCCCCGCGTTCTCCGCGTTCCGACTCCCTCCTCCCCCTCCCTCCTCCCTGCGTTTCACCCACCCAGTACAGCGCTTCGTGGCCCCATAGGGAGCTCCACCGAAGGCCCCAGTGCTAACGCATGCGTCCGTCCCCCCCACCCAGTACAGCGCTTCGTGGCCCAATAGGGAGCTCCACCGAAGGTCCCAGCGCTACCGCCCGCATGCGTCCCCCCCACCCAGTACAGCCGTTCGTGGCCCCCTAGGGAGCTCCACCGAAGGTCCCAGCGCTACCGCCCGCATGCGTCCCCCCCCCCAGTACAGCGCTTCGTGCCCCATGCGGAGCTCCACCAAAGGTCCCAGTGCTACCGCCCGCACGCGCCCCCCCCCACCCAGTACAGCGTTTCGTGGCCCCATAGGGAGCTCCACCGAAGGCCCCAGTGCTACCAGACGCATGCGTCCCCCCCACCCTGTACAGCACTTCGTGGCCCCATAAAGGGGGCTCCACCGACGGCCCGTGTGCTGCCGGCCGCATGCGTTCCCCCCCACCCAGTGCAGCGCTTCGTGGCCCCGTAGGGAGCTCCACCAAAGAAGATATTCACAGTTGCGATATTCACCACAACTTCATATGGTTGGGTCTCCCGCCAGGATCATGTTTATGGTTTCTCGCCTTTTCGGTCCCAGAAGGGCCCAGCACGGCCCACGACGTCCAAAAGATCGTCCCAAGATAACCTCAGAGGCCCCAAAAGGGCTCGACAACGGTCCCAGAGGGCCCCCCAGACGGCCCACGAGGGCCCCAAGACGGCCCACGACGGCCCCACGAGAGCACCACGATGGCCCCAAGAGATTCCCAAGAGGGCCCGAAGAGGCAGTGTGGGGACTGGGCTGCTTGGGTGTGGGGACTGGGTTGGCCCCAAGACGGCCCAAGAGTCCCAAAACGGCCCCAAAGGGGCTCCCACAAGACTCCCAAGAAGCCCCAGAGACGCCAAGGAACACCATGGCTCCCAACAGCGAGCGGTAACGTAACAAGCTCTGAACAGCAAGGCTCCCAAGAGCGAGCGGCAACGTCAAATCGATGTCCTGATATTTGTTCGAGTGAAGCGGCCCCCGGGCGGCTCCCATGGCAAGTTCCCTCCGTTCGAGCGAAGCGGCTCAAAGGCCCCAAGACGTCCCAAGAGGGCCCCACAACGGCCCAAAGACGGCCCCAAGAGAGCCTCAGATGGCCTCCAGACGGTCCAAGAGAGCCTCCAGACGGCTCCCGAGGCCCTCAAGAGGGCCCTCGAGAGGGCCTCAGGAGGCCAAAAAGATTGATTTCCCAAGGGTCTGTGAAGGTCTTTCGAGTTCTCACCTTTTCGGGCCCAGAAGGGCCCAACACGACCCACGAGGCCCCAAAGATCGTCCCAAGACGGCCTCAGAGGCCCCCCAAAAGAGCCGAAAACGGTCCAGGAGGGCCCCCAAACGGCCCAAGAGGGTTCCAGAGCAGCCTCAGAGCGCCCCAAGATAGCCCCAAGAGAGCCCCAAGAGGGCCCCAGACGGACCTAGAGGGCCCCGAAAGAGCCCAAGAGGGCCCCAAGACAACCCCAAGAGAGCCTCAGATGCCGTCTTGAGGCGGCCTTGCGGGCCTCTAGGGCCCCCTGGGAGCGTCGGGAAGCCGAAAAGGCGAGAACGCCAAAATCTTCCAAAAACCTTAGGGGAATCAATGATTTTGGCATCTTGGGAGGCCTCTTGGAGGCTTCTGTGGGCGTTTTGGAGGCTCCTTGAGCCGTCCAGGGGCTATCTTGAGCGTCTTGGAGCGATCGTTCGACGACTCGGGGCCTCCTTGGACCGTCTTGGGGGCTTATAGGGTTCCTCGTGGCCCGTCTCGGAGCCTTCTGGGGCCCGAAAGAGTCACGCGACAGACCGCGCCACGCCCCAAGAGATTTGGGCCGAGGGGCCCCGAACCCTTCAAGGGACACCTCAGGGGACGACTGAGGCTTGGAGGGGTTGAGAGAGGACTTGAGGACACGCCCACTCCGTGCCCTGAGTGCGAGGCGGGGATTTAGCCATATCCACCGCCTGGGAACCGACGTCCTGGCGCCCTAGCGGGCGGTGGATATGGATATATTTCGGCCCCTGGGGGGCCCAAATATGCCCACATCCACCGCCTGCCGAGGCTCCGACAACTGACCCTCCAGGCGCTGGATACGGATAAATTCCCGCCCTGCCCAGAGGCACGGTGGCGGATGTGCAGGTGCCCCAAGAGCCGAGCTTCGGCGGCGGAGGCGCTGCGGCTCCCCTGGTTCACGCAGCCCCCTTTGCCGGCCGCCGCGCCGGTCGTGCCCGCCACCCCCCCGGCAGGGCCGAGGGCCCCTCTCCTCCGGGCGGCGCAGCGAAGCGCGTTGCAGCGCGGCCGGCGAGACCGCACCGCGGCGGCGGGCGCGGACCTGGAGGGGTGCGATCGTGCGGTGGACTCGCAGGGCTCGAAGTCCACAGTCGCGGCCGTGCCTCCTGGGCAGCTGGAGCATGGGGACGCTTCTTGCCGGGCGGCGCAGCGAAGCGCGCTGCAGCGTGGCTGGCGAGACCGCACCGCGGAGGCGGGCGCGGAGCTGGACCTGGAGGAGGGGTCTGATCGTGCGGTGGACTCGCAGGGCTCGAAGTCCACAGTCGCGGCCGTGCCTCCTGGGCAGCTGGAGCATGGGGACGCTTCTTGCCGGGCGGCGCAGCGAAGCGCGCTGCAGCGTGGCTGGCGAGACCGCACCGCGGCGGCGGGCGCGGAGCTGGACCTGGAGGAGGGGTGCGATCGTGCGGTGGACTCGCAGGGATCGAAGGCCACATTCATGGCCGTGCCTCCTGGGCAGCTGGAGCATGGGGACGCTCCGTCGCAGAGGAGTAGTAGCGCCAACCTGGCTGGCCAGTGGCCCGAGCTGGCAGGGTCGGAGCGGCCTTCTTTCGGGGAGCGACCAAGCTTCGCGGAGCGAGCAACGGATCCGATATTCGACGCCAGCGCGTTCTTCATCAAGAAGGTGATGAGGCCACGGAGGACACAGTTAGAGAGACATGTTTCTTCCGAGGACCTAGCGCAGGCAGGAATCCGATCAGATCTGACACAGAGCAGATTGCCAAACGGGTTGCCCCCTGGAGGGTGCAGGAGGCCCCACGGCTTGCACCTGCAAAAGCACATCCGCACACCCCGCAGTGTCAGTGACGGGCAAGCGCCTCGTACCGCCAGAAGCCGCTGGCCAGCCAACTCACCAGCAGCGACAAGTGCTTGGGCGAGCCTTGAAGACGAATTTGAAAAGCTTTCTTCGTAATCATGTCGCAGCACGTCCAGCGGTGCACGACAGACTATCCGCGATGGCTGCTCGGTCACCTTCTAAATCAGCCGTCGACGGTGATGGTTTCGTGCTTGTCTCCAAACCAGCACGCGGGCACTGTCCCACGCTTCCTTTTATCTTTCCTTCCAGACGATGCCCTGCGTCATGCCAGTGGGCAGGCGCTCGGAGGTTAGGGCGCGAGTGGGGCGGCCTTCTCTAAGAAGGACCCCTGCCTTTTCAGAAGCCCCGCCGCCTTCTCAGAAGCCCATCCTCCTCTTGCCATTCCCTTATGGGCGCTGCCTAGTTGTCCAAGGGGCTGGCATCCGCGAAAGCGCGCTATGCACTTTTTGTCGCGGACTCAGCGAGAGCACGAGCGGATCGGAGCAAGCTCTGGACAGCAAGCGCGCTATACGCACATTTATCATTTCCAAAGTTTATAAGTTTTCTCGCGACAACCACCAAACAAGGGGCACAGCCACCCCTTGTGCATGGGGTATGGAGACAGACTCCACTGTCTGCGAAAACGCGTGGCGAATTTGACGCATCCGCAACGCACATTTAACCGAGCTCAGAATTTGCGATGGGCCCTCCCACGCCGACCACTGTTTGAGAGGTACAGCTCCTCCTCCTCCTCCTCCTCCTCCTCCTCCTCCTCCTCCTCCTCCTCCTCCTCCTCCTCCCCTCCCCTCTCCTCCCCCTCCTCCTCTCCTCCCCTCCTCCTTCCTCTCCTCCTCCTCCTCCTCCTCCTCCTCCTCCTGTTGAGAAGTACAAGCAGCCCCTAGAGCGGAATGGACAAAGGCTCCGTTATCGTACGAGATATGACCAGTCCAGGCTTGTGGTGCGTAGAGTAAGTTTGAATCACGTCTTGCCTCGCCGCATCTCATTGCACCCTTCTCGGCCTACCTGTCCTGGCCCTCTCCTTCCAGGAGGATCAAGCATTGCTGTTTCCAGACAGCGTGCCCGAGGCCTCCACCCCTCCTGACATCCGCTCCCATGCGTGGCCGCACGTGCTCCGCCCGCCGGCGTGCCACCGCGCGAAGCCTGGTTTAAGGCAGCGTGCTGCTTGGTGGCGCAATGCGAGGCAAAGCAAGGCAAAGCGATGCAAAGGCAACGCAGAGCAGCGCAGAGCCATGCAAGGCAACGCAGAGCAATAAAAAGCACGGCATGGCAATGCAGAGCAACGCAAGCAACGCAGTGCAAAACAGGGCATAGCAATGCCAAGCAATACAAGCCCAGACGACGGGTGGCACAGGGGCGACGACGACAACATGGTCACCAGACCGCCATCCACGCCCAGACGACGGGCGGCAACGAGGCGGAAACGGGGCTGCGACGGCGACAACAATGCCGCCAGACCGCCACGCAGACCCAGACGACGGGCGGCGACGAGGCGGCGACGGGGCGGCGACGGCGACAGCAATGCCGGCAGACCGCCTCACAGGCCCAGACGACGGGCGGCGACGAGGCGGAAACGGGGCGGCGACGGTGACAACCCAGCCGCCAGACAGACCCAGACGACGGACGGCGACGAGGCGGCGACGGGGCGGCGACCGCGACAACGTAGCCGCCAAACCGCCACACAGGCTCAGACGACGGGCGACAACGAGGTAGCGACGGGGCGGCGACGGCGACAATAGCCGCCAGACCGCCACACAGGCTCAGAAGACGGACGGCCACGTGGCGGCGACGGGGCGGCGACCGCGACAACGTAGCCGCCAGACCGCCACACAGGCCCAGACGACGGGCGGCGACGGGGCGGCGATGGCGAAAACCCAGCCGCCAGACAGGCCCAGACGACGGGCGGCGACGAGACGGCGACGGGGCGGCGACGGTGACAACATAGCCGCCAGACCGCCACACAGGCCCAGAAGACGGACGGCGACGAGGCGGCGACGGGGCGGCGACGGCGACAACATAGCCGCCAGACCGCCACACAGGCCCAGACGACGGGCGGCGACGAGGCGGCGACAGCGACAATATAGCCGCCAGACCGCCACGCACGCCCAGTTTTTTAGAAAAGAGTGTTAACCATCGTGGGCCCCAGAAAGTGCGTTTCTAGCAATATATGTTGTGCAATGTTCGTGGGGCCGTCTATGGCCTATGGTGTGCAACCTACGTGGTGCAATAAATGGTATGCGATTCACTTCGACTGTCTTAAAGCTGTCCTCTCCACTGCTCGTGCAAACATCCCATCCTCCCACCCGAAACTTGGTCGCAAGACCTCTTGAGACCTTGACGGTAGGTGCCAAATTGCACTTGGCAGCGACGCCGACGACAGCGACAACGACGACGACGCCGACGACGACTACGACGACACCGACGGCGACTCCGACGACTTCGACGACGACGACGACGACGACGACGACGACGACACCGACGACGACGACGACGACGACGCCGACGACGACGACGACGACGACGACGCCGACGCAGACAACGACGACGACGATGACAACGCCGACGACGTCGACGAAGACGACGACTACGACGCCGACGACGAGGGAGGAGGGAGGACGACGACGGCGACAACGACGACAACGACGAGGGACGAGGGAGGATGGCGACGACGCGAACGACGAAGAAGGAGGGAGGACGGCGACGCCGACGACGACAACGACGAGGGAGGAGGGAAGACGACGACGACATTGACGACGACGACGACGACGACGACGACGACGACGACGACGACGACGACGGCGGCGGCGACGGTGACGAAATAGGAGGGACGACGACGAGACGCCAACGACGGACGACGACGACGACGACGAGGGAGGAGGAAGGACGACCGCGGCGACAACGACGACGGAAACGACGACGACGCCAAAGAGGACGACGACGCCGACGACGGCGAGGAAAGGTAGAGGACGACGACGACGACGCAAAAGCGCGCGCGCACGCTTTTGTTGAACACCCGTGTTGCGAAATCCTATGTTTTTGCATGTTGTTTTGACATTCGATTTTGAAACCCGTCCGAAACCTAAGGTTTTTGACGGAGTTCGGCATGCGCGCGCGACGACGCGCGCGCTTGCACTTCGTCCACTCTGCTGCAGAGGATTATCACGACGGCACGCGCGCACGGGCGCTCGAACGATTTCGACATGCGCGCGCGAAGCCCGTTTGGTAGCATGTTCTAAAAATCTTGACGAAAAATGGTTTTATGGAGATGTCGAAACAGTGCGCGCGTAATCTGGTTTAGAAAATCAGCGTTGCGAAACCCTACGTTTTTGTATGTAGTTTGGGAACTCGATCTTGAAACCTGTCCGAAACCCAAGGTTTTTGAAGGATTTCGGCATGCGCGCGCGACGGCGCGCGCGTGAGCATGTCGTCCCATTCTGTGCAAGGGACTCTTGAACACTTGTGATTTTTGGTAAACGAGTGTGCGCGCATAGTATTTTTTGCAAGAGAACCGAGAAGGGGTGGATACCCGTTTGGCTGGGAGAGTATGAATTCACAGTTAGGGTGGACGATGGGGCAAAACCATATGTAAGTTGCAATACGAAAAGGGGGCCTTTCAGCCCGGGGGGGGAGGGTGGTAGAACATATGCTTTTTAGAAGGGAGAATTTATGCCGTGCAATATATGTTGTACCATCCATGTTGCGCATTGCTTGTGGAGCAAACTGTGCGATAGCTTCATGTGCGCAATGTATGTTGTGCAAGCTATTATCTTCAGCATATGTGGTGCAATCTTTGTGGTGGAATTTATTTGGTACAATTCACTTTGACTGTCTTGAAGCTGTCCTCCCCACTGCTCGTGCAAACATCCCACCCTTCCACCCGCAACTTGGTCGCAAGACCTCTTGAGACCATGACAGTAGGTACCACATGGCACTTGGCAACGACGCCGACGACGACTACGACGACACCGACGACGACGACGATGACGCCGACGACGACTACGACGACACCGACGACAACTCCGACGACTTCGACGACGACAACGACGACGACGCCGACGGCACCGACGACGACGACGACGACATCGACATCGACGACGCCGACGCCGACGACGACGACGACGATGACGACGCCGACGATGACGACGACGACGATGACGACGCCGACGACGACGACGACGAAGACGACGACGACGCCGACAACGACGACAACGACGAGGGAGGAGGGAGGACGGCGACGACGACGACGACGACGACGACGACGAAGACGACGAAGACGACGACGACGACAACGACGACGGCGCCACCGAAGGCGACGACGAGGAGGGAGGAGAGAGGACGACGACGGCGACATCGACGACAGCGACGAGGGAGGAGGGAGGACGGCGACGACGCGAGCGACGAAGAAGGAGGGAGGACGGCGACGCCGACGACGACAACGACGAGGACGGAGGGAAGACGACGACGACGACGACGACGACGACGACGACGACGGCGACGAAATAGGAGGGACGACGACGAGGGAGGAGGAAGGACGACCACGGCGACAACGACGACGGAAATGACGACGACGCCAAAGAGGAGGACGACGACGACGACGAGGAAAGACAGAGGACGACGACGGCGTCGGCGACGACGACGACGAGGGAGGAGGCAGGACGGCGACGACGACGACGCAAGAGCGGCGCGCACGCTTTTGTTGAACATCCGTGTTGCGAAACCTCGTGTTTTTGCATGTTTTGTTTGCATTCGATTTTGAGTTTTTTCCGACACCGAAGGTTTTTGAAGGATTCCGGCATGCGCGTGCGACGACGCGCGCGCGTGCACTTCGTCACGTTTTTGCAGAGGATTCTCGCGACGCGTTCGAACGATTTCGACAGGCGCGCGCGCGAAGCCCGTTTGGTAGCGCTTTCTGAAATATTTAAAACCTATGGCTTCTTAAGAATTCGCAAGAGCGCGCGCGCATGTTTGTTTTGAAAACCCGTGTTGCGAAACCATGTGTTTTTGTATGTTTCGCTCCGGCCGCCTGAGGCCCCGCCCTCCTGTGCCCTGTCTCCCAAATTAAAACTGTGCGTAGCCCGCCTAGCTTTTAGCGGAAGAGGTTCGCTCTCACCCAGCCGAACCAAAAAAATATCCTGGCGAAGGACCCAACCATACGCAAGTGCGAGAACCGCAGAGCAGGTGGGACGAAGCAAGGAGAATTCCCAATGGGGCCACGAACCGTGCGAGGGGTGCGCCAAAATGGGGCGGGGCCGCCATGCGAACCCTGCCACTGGGGCCTTCGGTGGAGCTCCCTATGGGGCCACGAAACGTGTGAGGGGTGCGCCAAAATGGCGCGGGGCCGCCATGCGAACCCTGCCACTGGGGCCTTCGGTGGAGCTCCCTATGGGGCCACGAAACGTGTGAGGGGTGCGCCAAAATGGGCCAGGGCCGCCATGCGAACCCTGCCACTGGGGCCTTCGGTGGAGCTCTGTATGGGGCCACGAACCGTGTGAGGGGTGCGCCAAAATGGCGCGGGGCCGCCATGCGAACCCTGCCACTGGGGCCTTCGGTGGAGCTCCCTATGGGGCCACGAAACGTGTGAGGGGTGCGCCACAATGGGGCGGGGCCGCCATGCGAACCCTGCCACTGGGGCCTTCGGTGGGGCTCCCTATGGGGCCACGAACCGTGTGAGGGGTGCGCCAAAATGGGGCGGGGCCGCTGGGGCGATCGGTGGAGCTCTGTATGGGGCCACGAACCGTGTGAGGGGTGCGCCAAAATTGGGCGGG